CCGCCCACGGCGAGCCTGGTGGTGGATCCTGCCAGCACCGTCGCAACAGGAATGAGGCAGACGACCACTGCCAGCCATGCGGCCCAACACCTTGTTTTTTTGGCTGAACATTCTGTGCAGACTTGGGGCCCAGCACCTGGGTTCGAATACAGCTCCTCCACTGCGGAGGAGGCCACCTAACTGCAGCCCCTGAGAAAGTGAAGGTGTCGCCTGCGTACAGGCTTGAACCCCAGTGCCAAACCTCAGGGCCACCCATGGTGTCAACAACAAAACCAGCCGCAGACGGAAGCCTGGCCAGGCTGTGACGACTTGAGTGGGAATCCAGTGCTTCCGTCTGCTCGGTGCTGGGAGGCAACCCCGACGCCCACTGTGGGAGCAGGTGCGTGAGCTGTGTGCCAAGGGGGACTTCGGGGGGGTGCGGAGGGGCCCACCCAGGGACACGTCCCAAAGGGACAGAGACACAGGACCCCCCACTGCAGAGCCGCGAACAACTCACCAGACATTTCCGCTGTGATGACCCGGTGGGGCTGAAGCCTGTAGTCACCTGGAGGGGAAACAGCCACAGTCAGGGGGTCCCCATGGCTGCCGGGTAACCCCAATCCCCGCTGTGGCCTAGTTGGCTGCTGTGAGCAGAGTCCTAACCCCCAGGCTGTCCATGAGCGTCTCTGGGCTCTGACACAAAAGGCCACTCCGAAAGTGTGACCTCAGCTGTCACCTCCCCTCGGAGACCCTGGGCAGCATCTGCGATGGCAGGAAAGGGTCAGCCCACGGTCCCCTGCCACCACAGCATGGCCCGGGATCCCGGTGACCACACCGCCCATCGCCTTCTTGTCCCCCACGCTTTATCCACGGACGGCTCTGGGCGCCTGCTTGTGACTGCAGAGCCTGACTTCAGAGTCCCCAAGCCTGGGTTTCCATTCATTGCTCTGTCACTTCAGGGAAGTCACAAACTCTCTGCTCTGTGGTTTTCGCCCTTTGAGCCTCACGAGGCCAAAGACCCCACTGCGACCCAAGTGAAACTCCCGGGGACACACCTGGCACCCAGCAGCCCTTCCTAGGGGCTGTGTGAGTTCACACCACAGGACAGCCCGACGCTCTAGTTTGCCACCAGTGTGGACAACCGAGCAGAATGGCTAGATCCACGAGGGCCCTGTAGGGGGACGGTGCCGTCTCCAGGAGAGGGGCCCCCCAGCCCTCACGGCACAGCTGGGCCTGAACCGACCCCAGGGCCTGGCCCCAGAGCAGGCAGGATGCTGTCCCCGCAGTCAGGCACTGGGGACAAGTTTCTCATCCACAGTCCAGGCGAGGAGGGTCCAGTGACGCCGAGTTCTCCATGCTTACCCCCCCGACTCGGCAATGGCCCCATCGGAACGCTCCCCCTGGCCCTGGCTGGCCCTCCCTGCAGGCCCGGCAGGCTCGTGCCCTGCCTGTGTCCATCACCGCGCTGGCTGCTAGGCCGACCCCAACCTCCGCCTGCCCTGCCCACAGGCTGGGAGCATCTGCCAGCACGGATTCGAGGACGGGCTCAGGGCAGGGATGGCCCAGGTGCCTGCAGTGCCACGTGGTCACACAGGGCATGTCTGCCGGATGGACAAATGGCCCACTCCGAGTCCCACACCAATACGTTGGTTCTAGTGCTGGCCACTCTGAGACAGACACCGCTGACCCCCTCTGGGGAACCCTCTGGCCACCTGGGAAGGATGGGAAATGGGACGGCCCCAAAGAAGCCTCTGGGCCGGCTAAGTCCGGACACACCCTGGCCGGCCACACTCTGCAGACCAAGGACGCAGGAGGCTTTGCCCACTGAGCCCCGTGCACGCCCAGACCCTCGGCGAGGCCGCCCATAACTCTGTGCACGGACACCGACCAGGTTTCGGGGTCGTGTTTATTTTCACAGGTCAGAGCTGACAGCAAGGGGACGCAATCCTGGTGGGCTCGGGGTACAGGCGGCCGGAGAAGTGAGGCCTGAGTGTCCGTCCGCGAGGCCCGGCAGGACCGCCACGCTCCGGCCCAGTGGAACGCGCAGTCTGGCGGAGACGCAGCCCTGTGCGCTGGCGGGAACGGCGGGGCTGCTGGGCTGGGTGGTGTGAAGGTCCCTGGAAGCCGCACGCAGGACCCAGGCCCCAGACGAGGTGGGAGCCGGCCTGAGAGAACCCGAGAGGAGACGGGGCCGCGGCGCCTACGTGTCGGGATCCAGCCGCTGGCATTGGGCGCCCAGCACGCCGCGGAACACCTGGAAGCGGTGGTTGAGGTCGGGCCGGGCGTGGATGCGGAAGCGGGAGCCCAGGGCGCCGTCGGGGGAGGGCGCCCCGTAGAAGACGCGCTGCACGCGGGAGTGCACCAGGGCCATGGCGCACATGGCGCAGGGCTCGCGGGTGATGTAGAGGTCGTAGCCGGTGCACACGTAGGGGAGACCGTCCTCGTCCGTGTCCTTGTCCAGCTTGCGCACAGAGCCCACTCGGACGCCCTGGGGGGCGGAGGCCGGGGTGAAAGAGCAGGCGGGGTGGGGCCCGAGGTCGTAGGTGCCACGGCCCTGTCCCTGGGCCACCAGATCAATGCACACCATGGTGGCGTGCAGCAGGGGGCTGGCCGCGCTGCTGCAGTCATGGCCAGTGGCCAGCACACAGCCAGAGGCCGGGTCCACCACCACAGCCCCCACGGCCCTCAGGCCCCTGGCAGCCGCCTGCTGCGCGGCCTGCACGGCCCGCTCCATGTGGGCCTGCATCTCCGTCCGCTCCTGCGCTGAGAAGAGCCGCCCGGCCAGGGCGCGGGTCACGTGCTTGTCCTCGTGGAAGGACGTGGGCCAGTGGGCGCGCGCCTCCTCAAACTGGCCCCTGGTCAGGGGCGGCCGGGCGGGCACGGGCACCAAGAAGGGCTGCCCCAGGCCTTGGGGATCGACGGCCGGCTGCGGGAGGAGTTCGGCCAGCGATCGCGTGCCCGCGGCCGGCCCTGCCAGGCACAGCAGCATCTCCAGCGCGTGCGGGTGGCTGGCGTCACGGCTTGGCCGCACCCTCTTGAGGTGAGGCTGGGCGGGCAGTGGGTGGACAGCTGACACCTCCTTGAGCAGGCGCGAGGTCTGGCGCTTGTCGAGGATGGGTGCAGCATAGGCCAGCACCAGCTCCACGTCCTTGGCCTGCTGCTCCGACAGGACCGGGAGGGCTTGCCACGGCACAGGCTCTCGCTCCGGGTTCCCGGCCTTCTCGTCCCCACGCTGCTCCACCTCCAGGGGCTCCATCCTCAGCTCGGCTCCGACTGTGGGAGACAGAGATCGGAGCAGAGCATCATCCGTCAGCCGCAGGAGGCCCGGGGGGGCCGAGGAGTCCGTCCCAGGTGCGTGCCGGATGCGAGGGCTCATCCTGGGTAAGATGCATCACCGGTCATGCCCACTCACATCCTACTGACTCGGTCTGCATGAAGTTTAGACTGCCACTGAGCCCGCCCCGCTCGCCTCTGAGATGTGCCATGTGTGGAAACGCATGCTGGGTCACCGGGATTAACGTGGAAGAAAGAACACGAACCGCCTCCTAAGTTCTTTCGTGTCGACTAGGTGTCGAAGTGCAAACATCGTGTGCTCTCAGCTAACGAAACACGTTAAGGTTAACTTCACCTGCTTCTCTGTACTTTCCAAAAACGCAGCTTCTGAAAGATTTAATGTTACGTGTGCCTCGCATGCCAGTCCCTTGTTCAGGACTGTTTTGGGTGACGTCAGAGATAAACCACAGAACACCTCGACCAGGTTCCGGAGGCCTCGGGCGCCACCGACCGCCCAGAACCTGGCCCCGCCGGCGACTCATAGCAGGCCAGGCCCTCCTGTCCCATCCCCATGTACGAGAGCACTGAAGTCCCTGGGGCTTTCATCACTCGTGACGTGCCTCCTGGCTCAGTCCTCGGCCCCACGGGCCCCGCTGCTGTCGGCTGGGCCCTTCAGAGGGCACGCGAGCGCCTCGCCCACCACAGTGTGTCTTAAGCTCAGTCCAATCTCGGCAAATGTGCTGAAGCCGGGTGCTGGTGGCAGCCACGAGAAGTGGACCGCATGGCGGAGGTCGTAGGGTGCCCACAGGCAGGCCCACGGTGCCAACTCCAAATCCGCCCGCGCACACCATATGCCAGGACTGCATGGCCCGCGTGGCCCGCCCCAGGCTGCGGAAGCTCCCACTGTCCGCCGGGCACAGACAGACACAGCCCTGTTTGTTCCTCCAAGAGTGCAACCTCTGTCTGATCAAACAAAACAAGCGACAAATAAAAGAGGCTGCCTTTGAGACTCTGCCAGTCAGGCCACCAACTCCCAGGAAGGAGGGATGAAATGTCACAGAACAGTCGTGTGTGACCCAGCAACTCCACTCCACTCCCAGGTGTGCGCCCAGAAAACTGGAAGCCCGTGTCCACACGAAATCTGTCCACGCGTGTCCATAGGGGCAGGACTCAGGACAGCCAAAAGGTGGAAACGTCCCAAGTGTCCATCCACTGATGAATGGACACACACCGAGCGGTCCGTCCACACAGGGGAACATCACTCAGCCTGAAAACGGAGTAAAGGGCTGACCACCGGCACAACGGGGACAGAGCCCGACAACGTCAAACCCAGGAGAGAAGCCGAACACATACAGCCACATGGGGCATGATTCCATCTATGTGAAACGTCCAGAACGGGCACAGCCACAGGGACAGAAAGTGGGTCAGTGGATTACAGGAACTGCGGTAGAAATGTATGTGACTGCTAATGAGGACAGGTTTCCTTCTGTGGTGATGGAATGTTCTGGAGTTAGATAGCGATGACAGTTGCACAAACGTACTAGAAACCACCTACATGAACTCAAAGGGAGTGAACTGTATCTCAGCAAAGCCGCTGTGGAAGAAAACGGGGAGAGGGAAGGACACCTGGGGGACAGCAGGTCAGCAGACCCCACATAGGCGCAGCGCCTCGATGGCAGCTGCCAGCTGCGGTTACTGTGACACTGTGTGTCCTCGTGCTTCCACGAGCGGGCTCCCCTACTTCTCCCAACGACTTGGGAGGGAGCCCCTGGGACTGTCCCGTCTACAGGACAAGCGAGGCTCCTTGAGGCGGAGGACTTTACCAGGGCACGTGGCTGGTGCCCATCGGCTCAGGGCCTCTGCCTTCCAGGCCCATCAGGAAGATGGAGGTCCTGAGCCCCCTCTACAGATGAAAACAAACAGGCTCGGCGGTGGGTGACCCACCCGAGCCCCCACCCACATCCCCGTGGGGCGGGCCAGCCCACCTGCGAACAGACTCTGTGCACAAACACTTTGCCGAAACACACCCAGGATCTGAAGCGTGGCTAGCGGCAGCTGCCGACCCTGGGTTCCTCTTTCCGTCCCCAAAGCCCCAGAGCAAGCCCGGGCTCCAGGTGCCCCGACTGCTCCCGCGGCCCTTCCCGCGAGCTCCCCACCGGTCCCGCCCTGCTCAGTCCCTTCTCCGAGTACGGCCACCTCCTAAAACGCTCAGGGGGCGGCCGCAGCCTACTCGGACACCGCAATCACGTGTTGCGATGCTCCTGCTCCATCCAGGTCGGGGAGGCTCAACTGTGTCAGCAGCCCCCCGAGGGCCTGGCACATCCAGATCCAGGGAGACGGACCCCTACCTGCAAGGCTCCCCAGCAGCCTAGGACCACCCGTCCCCACAGCACCACACCAGAAAATGAGCATGTACTGAAACTCCTGGGGGACACTGGGTGGCGGCACGTGGGGGCACTGCGCCTGGGGTCCTAGCAGGAGTGGACTCGCTCTGAGAGGGACACAGGATATAGTGCTTATCCAGTGAGCTGAGTCAGGCTCTGCAGGGACAACAACGTGAGCCTCAGGCAGGAGGCTTTATCTTTTCTTCCTGGATTAGGAAGGAAACAGTCTGGACCTGGCTGTGTCTTGGCCCCATTTCCTGGCTGTGCGGCCTTGGGCATCTGCCCTAACCTCCACCACGCAACGGGAATCCATCCCCACAGCGCAGGGATGGCAGGGCAAGTGAGAAAAGCCACAAGAGGCCTCGCAGTCCTGGGTGGTAAACAACCTGACAGCTCCTCAGCGGCCCAGTGCCCTGGCTGTGGTGGCAGAGTCCAGGAGGGCTCCTGGGAGGTGGTGATCCACAGCTGGGCCTGGAAGGCAGGCAGGGAAGGGTAGGGAGTCTCGAGCAGAAGGAATAGCTAGTGCTGGAGTCTCAGACGCGCCCACAGTTTTGAATGCAGTTTCCAGGTCTCAGCTCACCAGAAGTGGAGGGGACCGCCATCCGTATTTCTAACAAGCTCCCCAGTTATCTGTTACTTGCAGAGCGCGGTTGACAGATAACTTCTGGGGCACCCCATAAATTCGAATTCCAGCTAACAGAGCTGTTTCTTAGTATAAGTGTGTTCCGTGCAATCTACGCTAAAAAATTATTCGTCGTTTGCATGGAAGTTGAATTTAACGGGACGCCCTGCGTGTTTACCTGGTGAACCTGACACCCTGCAGGAGGGCCTTCTGTGCACGAAAGTTTGAGAACCTTAGGCTTGTGGGGTGTGGGAGAGACCCCTTATCCTGTGGCGGTATAAGAAAAGGCCTTGCAGGTTCACACTTCCCTTGAGTCTGAGGAATGATCACGATGTTCAGGACGCACAGAAACACTGGGGACCTTCGCCCAAAGCTGTGAAGCAGGTAAACGCGCAGCCCCGAGGCAGCGGGTGCCCGAGATGACCCGAGGGCGAGGCGCGCCGGAAGCAGCTGGACGCACGGGGTCCCCACTCCCGGCCTCAGGGGCGCACGCACGCGCAGAAGGGCGATGGG